TAATAAAGTAAAGAAAATCCGTCTTGTGAAGACTCCACACAACAGAAATCGGTTATCTGGTATTGTTACACTCACGCATTATCACCCAAAAATTTCGCCTCAAGCAATTCCAAAAATAGTGAATTTGTGTGTTGTGACAAATAATAAGAAAATTATACCAAATGAGATGTATACGAGTCTTGAGAGTGTGCAGGTTGATGGGTGGATCCGTAACAAAGATTTGTTGAGTGCGATATTTGGACTTCTTAATGTGAAAAACGTGACGATTTGGAATTGCACACATATCAATTATTTGAACACAATTTGTGACTGCATTTCTGAAGTCAATTTGAAGCACCAACACAAGTTGGACAATGTCAACATTTCCGTGTTCATTGAGAAGAGCATATCAACAGAAATATACAAAGAGGAGTTTGAAAGTGCGTTTTTAGCACTCAAACAGTTGGGTGTGAGTGTGTACTACAACACAGAGAATGTGATGGACAACTGTCACGTGTTAGACGAGTCGCGATTTATTGGAGAAGTTGTTGTCACAAATAAGAAAGGATTAGACTTTGGGTGTTTTAAAAATGATCGTGAAAGTGACATTGATGTTTATCATAACAGAGTTGAATATGATAAATGGATGACTAAAATAAGACATCATAAAAATCATGAACAAGAAGACAGAGACGATGGTGATTATATCACTGACAATTTAAATGATGAAAATTTTGATGATAATGAATATGATATTGAGTCAAGAGATGATGAAAATGATGATATCACTGATGATGATAATGAAAAAGAAAATGATATCAGTAATGATCAAAATGACATAGAAGAAGTTGATTCACAAGATGAAAAAATTAGAAACAAAATTGAAGTGCCAAATCAAAATGAATGGTATAATGCAGAGACGAGATATCCAATAACATGTCCACTTGTTTTACTTGACGATGTGATACCAACATTCAATCTACAAAGTCGCCTGGTCGTCAGGTTGACACTTTTTAACATCACAAAACAAACAATTTGCAATTTGTTTTGTACACGTGTCATAATTGAAAAGTGCTCAGAAATGACAGTCACACTGCGTGGAGTTGAGTCCACGTGTTGTATCAACTGTTCTGCACTTTCTCTTGTGATAGAAGACTTTGCAAACACAATTTCATTCACAAAATGTTCAACACACGACTGTTGAGAC